ATAAGGACCCGAAATCGAAGATTAATTTTGCGTTGGTTTCCAATGGTGCAAGCTGTTTAACTAGTATCCACTCCATAGATTATAAGCTCCATTTCCATTTCATTTTTATTTGTCTATTAAAACTTAATTGCACCGTTAAGTTGCGAGTATTAGCAAGGAAGAATGCCTTTATTCGGAGGTTAAAATTGCTTAAAGACACTGTTAAATAGAGCAATTTAGAAAATACATATTTGGGGTACAGAACTGGAATGTGGAAAAAGGAAGACCTCTTAAAATAGCCTGTCGAAGATAGAATGTGATACCATTTACTAAAGTTATCATGAGCCCAAGGCCTTTTGTCAAAAAATATCCCTCAGTTTAGCATAAATATGATAAATATTGGGGGTACATTTAGACCCAAGGATAGCAATTCGCTGTGAAGATATGTAAAGTCATTAGGTATTATTCAAGAATAAGGAATAAACTATATTTAAATCGTGTAATTTATATGAATATCACCTAGTATAAGCAAGTGTACCCACATATATCCAAATATATATAAATAGTCAAAGGGAGGTCATACATTTGTATATTATGACAATAGCAATTTATTTTAATGTGCCATCATGAATAGGTAAACTTGAGACATTTCACTTTATGATGCGAACATTGCCGGACATATCGAGAAACAGATCCGTATGTAGCTCATATGTACCTCAATGGAAAATATAACAGGAGCTAGAAGTAGACTCCAGGCCAGGTCTTAAAAGCAGTTAATTTCTTAGTAGGTCCATTAATAGTTCATTATACAGCGTAAATTTGTCTTTCTTAGAATATACCTAAAAATTCACAATTTCCATTTTAGCATAATTATTTTGGCACTAACCGTAAGGTTTCACATTCCATAATCTTTCTTCAAAAATGCTCTACTGATCAGAATTTTTACATTGATGATTTGCCAGATATTCTATATCAAAAGGGAATAAACTTGAATTGCAGGAAGTAAAGTAGATGTACAGCTGGCTTGCTAAAACTACTCAATACATTTAATGAGCATGGGCCAGAAGATTCTACTTCCAGAGAATTTTTCATAAACGTTTGTGGTAGTGATTATCATGAGAGCCAGTTGACTAATATTATTTATTTTCTTAATCTCAATTTTTTCTCTTTTTTTGCACGACTGCATCAGGTTTCCTGACTGCTTTCTGTTACCAATGTGTCCTCTGCCACATGCATC